AAAAAAACTCTGCAAACACACATGATCATTACAAAATCAGATTGATTCCTACAATAGAATTGTTCTTTCAGATGATTCGATTGATAGATCTAAAAATGAAAGAAACGGAATATTATGCAAATTAGTTGGGAGGAGCCGAAATCTCTTTAAAGCCAAGTGGGAGAGAAGGTTTTGAAAAGAACGGGAGAACACACTGAACCATCATTATCATCAGCAAAGCATCAGGTGGCACTGAGTTGAATCCGTATGGAATGGACGGAAAGGAGGCAGTCGATGTCTGACCATTACCAACAACCGATCAACAATATTAAAGATAGCAGACCACAACAAAAATGAAAGCCTTTTGAATCTCACATCAAATATTCCCATTAACAGGAAAGAGTTAAATTAAAACAACGGGAAGCTTCCATTTCCTCAAGTAGGAAACTTTGACAAGTTGCAGACAACATATTCCATACTCCCTAATGATTCTAAAAGTAATCAGTTTAGTTATCTTTAAGCAATCAGAAAGTAAACAAATGAATGACATGACCAATCAAAGAGCGGAAAATTTCACATGAGTGCAATATTTGTGGAATATGGAAAAACAGAATTACTTGAAGATTCTCATGCCTAAGACGCACGAACTATTCAACACATTTTGATAAAGATGTCCAGCAACGACAAGAACTACAAATTAAAACCTACTCATTGCTACGAACAACCAACTGCATCCTAAAATAATGAGACTATTATCGCGGGAGTCTAATTTACATATTCTTCCCTTCTACTGATGACTATTCATCATGCAGTCTTAATTAACATATTTCAACAATGGGAACCAAAACGTTTAAATTTCACAAATTTTTGGATAAATCTGAAGGAATTCTTCAGGTACGAGGCATTTTCGGTCTTCTATTTAAAGATCACAAGTTCGCTAAATAACGAAGAGTGATCCGGTAAACCACGGGTGGACCGGAATAATTCTATCAGGTTGATAATATTTCCAGAAATGCTTGTGAATCAATTTCGAAATGCATCATCCATCGAGCACGAACAAAAATGAGAGGTCAAAAGTAGCTGTTCGGTGTACGAGAAAGGGAGAGAGAATAGAGGGTGTTATTTGCTATGGTCACGAACAAATGGACGGAAGAGGAGACACTGTGATCGTTACAGGAGTGACCGAGTGAAGGTGGAGCCGATCGAGATGGATCGATGATAGATACGGATATACAGAACAAACACAGTAAGCAAACAAAACAGGAGGCGATGCGTTGTGCGACATTTCACGACAATAAGTGAAAAATGCGAACAGAGAGGGGAAGTAGTATTGCAATAATAAGTCCCGCAGAAATATAAAAAGATGGAATATTTTTTAATCGGGACTAATTTGGAAACAAAATTGGACAGTCTGAAATTTGTGTTAACCTTGTCAAAGTGTTCCTTTCTAAAATGAAAAATAGATATTTTAGGGTGATACTGCTCGAAATGTGAGGTTAAAGTAGGAAGTAAACTGTTGATCGATATTAACCGATAATGTTTACCGACTGATCAGAACTACCTCGATAGTCCGAGTATAACTGTAAGCCGAACTATCTTCTAAGCAGCCTATCAAAAAAGCCTACCACAATCGGTACATTGCTTACGCTCTTTTCGTACCTTAATAAATTTCAGGGTGTGGAAGAAACTCGGTATCTTGGCAAGTATTGAGAAGCCAATAAATGTTGAGAAGGAAGATAGGAGGAAATGAGTGGAATGAAAATATTTGTGGGACTGATGGGATCGTAGTACATTTTGTTATCTATACCTGCGCATCTCTCCTCAAACAAATGATAAATCGTCCTTTTGTTACTACCAAAGTACCGATTTTGGAAAGGAAAGAAAGATATTTACCTGACGAATAAGGCCAAAACACACAGTGGAATATTTCCGCCGTTTACTGATATGGTGAGGATACGGTTATTAAGAGCAGGTCTTAATATATTCCTCGAAGAGCGCCAAACCACTCAGGAATCGGTCAGTACAGACGATAGGGTTAGAATATTAACATAACATGAGCAAAAATATCTACAGCAAAGAATAAACTCGAAAAAGTAAATGGAATCGGTATAGAAGCAAATTTAGCGGAGATTTACAAAACTACTGAGTAATAGTAAAGGAAGTATTCTGGAAATGTATCAGTTGAATAATATATAATTTATTCTTCTAACTGGAGAGCTAAGCAAACATGGTTTAATTGTGGCAGAAGGATAATAAGATATTAACTTAGCCTATCGATTAGACTAAAACTGGCTAATAAAATATTTCCCCAACAGAGGTACACTAACCCTATCGTGACCTTCCTGTCTTTAATTTAAATTCATTTCCAGAGTAATACAGTGTGAATTTCAGAAGTTAACTTCAAAGCTAACGTTAAAACAGTGAATACATACATACCTTGATAGAAAAATGAAAAGCAAATTTTTAGAAGTTGAGTGGTAACATGTCAGGTAACAAAGAAATGAATTAGTTGTCAACTTCCAACCGAGCAAACCTTTCTTCCTAGAAAAAGTCAAATAAGACTTTAATATTTCCAACATTGCCATATATTAAAATTTTCACCTAATAATTAGGATAATTAATGTTACCAAATTTTGTTCCAAAAATTTTCTGAGACCATATCAAGCTTCGCATTTCACTTTTGATCCGACTTCACTTACTATGAAAATTACCATTCATTA